GTCAGACTTGAAACAAAGACCAGGAGTTGGAGGTTAAATTAGATGATGACTTCTAAGGTCCTATACAAATTATGATCATATATTGTAAGATACATATGAGTAGTGATTATGGATAAATAATGACTGGCTTATGTTCCTGTCTATTCTCCCTTATAAATGAGATGTCAAAGATAAAATCTAAAAGCAGAAACTTAAGTCCAACTTCCTCTGATATGAAAAGTGACCATGCTTATGACATAATAATAAACTATTGTAAACACACTAAGAATCAAATGTTTTTAGAAAGCCACAAATGTAATTCAGTAAGAAAAAATAGAATACCATAGAAATAACCTCATCCCCTAGCTCACTGCATATGAAAAATTAATTCTAGGTAGCAAAACAAAAAACGTCTTCATCACATGGGAGGTGGGATTTCTTAGGATTCGAAAAGTAATAATCATAAAAGAAAAATGATAAACTAGACATAAATATTTACAACTTTTGCTCATCGATTGACATCATTATGAAAATCACTAGGCAAACCACAGACTACAATAAAATAATCACAGAGCGTATATTTGGCAAAGGACTTGTATCCAGAATATATTAAAAAAATCCTATAAATCAATAGTAAAATGAAGCTACACAAATGAGCAATATAAGTTCATAAAGTAGTACTCAAAATCATTAGCCACAGAGAAGTAGAATACCTCTATGCATCTATTAGACTGGCTAAAATAAAAAAACAACATCAAATTTTGTCAAGAATGTGAAACAAAACTCTTATTCATTGCTGGTGAAAACAGAAAATGGTTAAAATGCTTTAGGGAAATGATTGGCAGCTTCCTATAAGTTAAACAATATCTACCATATGACCCAACAATTCCAACCCTAGGTACTGACCCAAAAGAACTGAAAACATATGCCCACTGAAAGATTTTCAAGAAAGCCATGGCAGTCTTATTCATAATACCAAAAAAAAAAAACCCTGTTAATAGTCAAAATGCTCATCAACATTAGAATATATAAATAATTTGCAAAGTATTTATGCAATGGAATACTCACAGCTTTAAAAACAAGTCCCAATATTGAAATAACGTGAATGAATCACATACATATTATAGTAAGCAAAGGAAGTCAGATGATTTCATTTGTGTGAAGTAATAGAAACAGCAAAACTAATCTATGGTGATAGAAATCAGAAATCGGATCAGTAGTCACTTCTGGAAAAGTAGGGGACTGACTGAGAAAAAACAGGAAGGAAATCTGAAGGGTGAGAACCACATTCTAAATCTTGAGAGGGCTGTGAGTTACACAAATATGTAAATCTGTCAATTCCCACAAATTGTACATGCAAATGTGATACATTTTATTCAATGTAAATTTTACTTCGATTTAAAAAGAACTCCTCAATTAAAATAAGAATTACAAATATTGTAAATCTAGTAAGCTTGCTTTACTAAGTGTTATCAGTCACTAATTCTGAAAGATTCTAAGAATACTACATTCTTAGTATCCTAGGCTTCTAAAAATGAGTGAATAGTGTGGTGGCAGCCAGATTTCTCACTGTAGACAAAGTAAGATGTAATATAGAAAAGGGAAGGAAATTACAAATATGAAAAGGAGGAGATACTAGTTTGTGGTGTTAGACTGAAATTAGAACTATCAGTAAAAAACATGGTTTGTAATAGATATTAATATATATGCATATACATGTATAGGTATATTTGTGGATAAATGTACACATACAAATAAGTATGTATGTGTAAATTCACATACACATACGAGGTCTTTCCAGAAGATATCCAGCCATGTACTATGGAAAATAGACACATTTACTGAAGAAGATAGGAGATACAAGAAACATTGCACACAGGACAATGACACTTCAGTGACCTTCGAAATAAGCACTTTGGAACCTCACACAGTTCTGCCAATCATCATCAGCTGCCCCATCATATTTTCCTAAATTTCACTGACAGTCTGAAACCTCTTCCCTTTCAAAGGTAATTTTAGTTTGGAGAGAAGCCTAAGTCATGGGGTACCATTTCTAGGCTCCAGGAGGGCTCAGTCACCTGGGCAATTTAATGTTTTGCCAAAAAAGCTCTGCACGAGATGTGATGCATGAGTGGGCGTGCTTTCATGATAAGCTCTCTGAATCATTCGAATAGCTTCTGTGGAGGGATGTTCAAGCTTAATGCAAAATTTGATGCAAATTTGTTGCTCTACTCACTCAGTCATTTTCAATGTTGTGGCCACATAGTACACATGCCCACTCAACAGCATCTACTGCCCCCACTAATACAATGTTCTCAGAAATCATTCTCATTATATTAACAATTGCTAGATTGTAAAAGCATTTTATTTATTGATTTTAGAGAGAGAGCATGAACAGAAGAGAGGGAGGAAGATAGAGAGAGAAATTGAGAGATTTGTTTATCCACTTATTAAGAATGTTAATTCTTGTATGTGCCCTGAGCAAGGATAAAACCTGCAACCTTGTCATACCAGGATGACTCTTTAACCAACTTAGCTCCACAGCCACAGCTACCTTATCGAATATATTATAGTGCATTGCTATCCTTATTTAATTTGATGCTCAAATTGTGCCAGATTTGGCCACTGGTTGCTGCATCAAGTTGGGTCCTCTGTACTTTAGCATTTTCTGATGATTCAGTTCATGAGAACTGCTTTACTTTCTGGTGCAACAAGTTGTTTCATGTTCATCTTGTATTTTTTCTGCTCTAGCCCCAAAACAGACGTTTCTCCAATAAGCCCTGGTTCTCTGACTAGATAATGGTACGTAAAAACCAAGATTTGGACACTAGGTATGCTTATTCCTACTATAACGTTATTGCTTCTAGGCCCTTTCTGCAGCAGAAGTAGGAAATAAGAGGTCTGTCCAGAAAAAGTCCAGCCATTTTCAACACAAAGATAGTAGTCTGAGTGATAGATACCAATGTAACCCCGCAGCCAAGGAGAGTGAACTGGAATGAAAATGTGTGAACCATGATGACTTCATTGTACTAGTCAGTGGGAGGAGGAAGTACATCCTATTGAATGAGCATGTATATTAAGTGGTCACCATATTCAAAATGACTGAGCAAGAAATTTGCATCAAATTTTGCATTAAGCTTGAACATTCCTCCAAGGAAACTATTTGGATGATCAGAAGGTCGCAGCTATGGGCAAGTAATGATTGGCAGCTTCATCACAATAACACGCCTGCTCGTATATCACATCTCATGCACAGCTTTTTAGTGAAACATCAAATCACCCACAGGACTCAGCACCCCCTACAACCCAGAACTGGCATGCTGTGACTTCTGGCACTTTCTAAAACATAAATCACCTTTGAAAGAGAAGAGTTTTCAGACCATCAGTGAGATTTAGGAAAATATAATGGGGTAACTGATGGGGACTGGGAGAACTGCGTGAGGTCCCAGGAAGACAAAAGGGGACCGAGGAGTCAATGTCCTATGTACAATGTTTATTTTATCTTGTATCTTCTTCAGTAAATGTCTCTATTTTTCATATTATATAGCTGAATACTTATATTCATTAAGATAAGAATCCATGAATACATACTGATATAAGTCAGTAAATGGAGGAAGGGAAAGCTTTTTATACTAGAACACCAACTAATTACATAATGGATAGAATTAGAAAATTACCAATGCTAAATTGATGCTAAATCTATTTGGTAAAAATTTTATGTGGAACAACATATTTATATAATCTCAAAATCTATTTACAAACCACTTTTTAATTACAAAGGGAAAATAAGAAATTTTGAGTGGAGAAATTTAGCAGACACTACCCCAAACAAATCATCAAAGCTACTTGGAACCAACTGACATCATGTACCTCCTGACTTGATGCTCTAAAAACACATCACTTTTATGATATTTGTGCTAAAAATGCATACCTAAAGATAATCATGAAAAAATATCAGATAGATACATACTGAGGGCATTCTACAGAATAGTCTGTACTCCACAAAAATATTAAAGTCAGGAACCATAAAGAAGGGTGAGAAAATGTTCCAGAAAAAAAGAAACTAAAGACATATGACAAATAAGTAAAATGTTTGGTCCAGGGCCAAGAAAAAAAAAGCTATAAGAAACCCTGTGAGGTTGATATTATTTTATCTGTTTTACAAAATGGAAACCAAAGTCATATATAGCTAGTACATAATAAACAGTACCATTACGGTATGTACTCTTAGCATTAAATGTATTAGGCAGTTTGCTATCTCTCTGGCTAATTGTATCAGAGAACTCCAGTCTCAGTCAAAAACTTATATACACACTAAATTCAATTAGAAGTAAGTATTCTTTCATATCCTTTAACAGAAGTAATCAAATCAATCACTCTAACTATATCAAAGTTGAACATTTCAAGTTATATTAAAAAAAGATACAGTGAATGCAAGGATATCTATCATTCACTTTACTCTAGAGCAACTTATTTTTATTTTTTATTTTTTTATTTTTTTAAATAATTTTACTTAGTTATTTTTCAAGTACAGTTTTTTGTCTATTTCTCCCATCCCAGCCCCTCCCCCGCCCTGTCCTCCCACGTCCCTCCCATTTCCACCCCTTAGTTCTCGTCCCTGTGTCCTTCCTATTTGTTCCTCCAAATCCCTCCCCCTTTTTCCCCCCTTAAATTCCCTTTCCTCTCCCCTCTGATCACTGTCCCCTTGTTCTCTATTTCAGTGTCTTTGTTTTTATCCTGCTTGCTTGTTTGTTTTGTTGTTTAGCTTCCTGTTAAAGGTGAGATCATATGGTATTTGTCTTTCAACTCCTGGCCTATTTCACTCAGCATAATGCTTTCCAGTTCCATCCATGTTTAGAGCAACTTATTTTTTAAATGTTTTATTAAATAAATAAACTCTACCTAGATGTGGTAAATATAAATTGTAATAAAAGCAATTAAACCTACAAAAACTAAACCATAACAACAAATAAAAACTCACAGTTAGAATAGTTACTGAAAAAAAAAAAAGGTACACGTACCTTTTCCTAAATGTGTATTTATGCTCATATATCTAGCTGTTCCCGTAAGGCTCTTGTGTTCTCTGTATGGTATGTGTTTCTTTGTCTCTGGATCAATATATTCCTTTGCCAAACCAAAATCTATAATATGAATAACTTGCTGGGTTTTATTTCCTGGTCGTCCTATTAAGAAGTTCTCAGGTTTCACATCTCTGTATATCAAGTTCTTTGAATGGACATATTCCATGCGAGAAATCTTGATTCAAAAAAAGGAGGAGATAAACTTGATTTGAGGCTTTGACTACCATAAAAAGCATGATAGATGCAATATAACTTTGACAATAAAAACAACATAAAGAAAAAAATTGTTTCAACACTTTAAAAGTAACATAACATCAGCAAACAGTTTCTCAAATATATGTCTGGTTATATTAAAAATACCTGCTTTTACTATTAAGGTCACTTATAAATGACTGTGCTTGAATTTTATGAATTCCTTTCATATCAGTAAGCCTGATCCAATCAATACGTTCACAGGATGCTACATTATAAAGGCAAAAAGCTTTATCAATACTAAATCTTGAATTCAAAAGTATAAACAGACATATTCACAAAGTTGCAATTTATTCTTCCTCATCACTTCTATACTCAAGCAACTTTTACTTTCATATTTTAAAAATTTAAAGAATCTAAACTGTTAAATAAAAACAATGAACAGAGCACCCTTTAGTCTTTTTCTCTTTTTGTAACTTGTTCTTTCCTTTTTCCCTTAAGTGTGAAACATTTAAAATTATCTTGAAATTAGAAGACTTTCAAATGTAACTCTAATGATGCAGTACATTTTTATTATTTTATATATTCTCCAATAATGTTCTCTATACAAGCTGTCACAAAACAGAACATTACAAAGAAGAAAATTAAAATTGCATCATTTAGTGAATCATGGTTGACAATGAAATGGACACGGATAGTCACTCAGGCCATTTTAGCTTTTTAACAAGTTTTGGATCATATACAATATTCTATGACCTATACTTCTAATTAACGAGATATTATGAGCATTTTCCAGATCATGAAACTTTCTTTTATTACATACTTTGTATTAAAATATGTATTACCTTAAGTTTTACTATTTTATCACTAACAACTTATTCAGCAAATCCTGTTAATTCTGTACATCTGAGTTGTTTTCCACTTTATAACCAATATTTGTGCACAGAAAGCTTTAAGTATATCTGAATACTTCCAACAAGATAAATTTTTAGAATTGGGATTAATAAGTCAATGGATAAAAAACAATTTTAAGGCTTCTGTGGCATACTTCTATTGGCATTTATTTCAAAACTGCCTTAAAATCATCCTCTACCTTGTTACCCCCAGATTCCCTGAAATTTAAATAATTTAGAGGTCTCTCTCATTAGTCTGTTTCCTCTTTTTCGCAGCTATTAGGATTTATTGCCAAGATTTAGAATCCATGTGTCTGACTGAAACTTCTCTTTTCTCAAGTATTCATCTTCTAAATAAAAAGTGCGGGAAACAAGTTAATTCTCAAACTACGTTAGCATTCTGATATGAAAGCAATATGATATTAATTCTTTCATATAAATAAAATACACCCGATTCAGTTATTTTAAGTTGTATGCATCCTAAAAAGGCAATACTATTTAAAGCAGAAACATTTTTAGATTGAATGCTCTGCAAGATAATGTAACAAAACATGAAACTTTTAATATAAATATGTGGCCAAAGAGCCACACAACTGCTGAAACAACTTCAAAGCATCCTGCTTTACTCACCAGTTGGATAGCTATCATGAGAACTGTTTTAAGAGAAAATGTTCGGTCACACAAATCAAACAAATCTTCCAAACTAGGTCCCAGCAGTTCCAGCACCATGGCGTTGTATTTACCACAAGGGCCAAAATAGTAAACTTGAGGTATACCATCTGAGGGGAAAGAGAAAAAAGGCTTTTAACAATTTCCTCATCTCCAACATCAAACTTTATATCCTAGAAATTCAATAAACAATTTTTTAGTTTCAAGAACTACACTAGTTGTTTCACATTTCCCATACACATAATAAACTTTCGCAGACCTAGCCTTCTCCTGCTGAACAGGGTAGCCTGGTTACACCTCTACTTCAGCTACGTGACTGAACTGTATTACAAACAGTGCTTCATTGTTGGTTTCTCACCATGGACAGGAACTGGACATTTTAGCCTTATATTACCACGACCTAGAGAAATGCTTGGCACATAGGAAAGATTTGATTTTTACTTAACAAAAGAGCCACTGTTCTCTTTAATAACCCTATGGTAGACAGAATGCTGTAGTTGGCTTCCAAGATTCCCATCCTCTGGTGTATGCATCCCATATAATCTCCTCCTGCTAAGCACGGGCAAAATCCCCATATTTTACTTGTGACTGGGTTATGTTATATGGCAAAGGTGACAGAATACCTCTATCAGTTGACTTTAATCAAAACAGAGTATTCTCGTGGGCCTGACCTCATCAGGTAAGTCCTTTAAAAACAGGGGCTAGAAGTCAGAGATCAGATTCAAAGCAGCAGAGCTTTCCTGTTAGCTTTAAATGAACAAACTACCATGGTGTAGAGAAAGTCACATGCCAGGGAATGGTGGGCAGACTACAGAAACTGAAGAACTTGGTCCCATAGCCATGAAAAACTGAATTCTGGGAATAACCAGTGAGCTTGGAAGAGAACCAAGCCTCAGGTAAGACTGCACTCTGGCCTTACACCCTGATTTCAGCCTGGCAAGACCCTCAACAGAGGATCCTGCTATACCTGGACTCCTGACCCATGGAAACTGGGAGATAATAAAGTCTCTTCTTCTATACCACTAGTTACTAAATAGTTTGTTATTCAACAACACAAAACAATCAAACTCCAAGTATAAAGTCTAAATGAACAGAACATCTGTATTTTATTTTCAGAAGTAAAAGACTCCCAATAAACAAAGTGATCAATTTATCTTAACAATGCACTTACCTATTTACTTATGAGGAAATGAATTTCCACCTTAAATCTCTAATTTACTTACAAGTGGTTTGTTCATTTTTTACAAGGGAAACAAATGTTTCATAGGAAATAAAACCTTCTCATTCTTTTAAAAATAGATAGTTTGGGAAACAAGTTTATTCTTGTTTTTTATCACTTTGAATATTTATCACTATTGAATATTATTTATTTTAACAAGGCACAGAGTATCTGAAGGAGGTAAGATAATATAATCACAGCACAGGGAGGGGACAAGGACAAGTTCAAATTGCATACATGGTCTCCTCCCCAGAAAAAGAGATTGTCATATACCTTCATGTGTATATGTGTTAGCGCCCCCGTATCTCTCTCACTCTCTCTCTCTCACATACACACACACATTTCCTCTTGCCACTGGGAATCACTAAGTGTGAGCCACTCTTATCATAGGGCTACTCTTATCATACGTGTGTCAGATCTACTCCTCACATGTGTACAAAGAGATGAGAGATACTCAAGTTTACTTCAACTTTGAAATACTGCTTTTACTAAGCTATATACATTAAGAGCCTAGAGCAGTAATTAAAACTTAACAATAGTCCTCAGCTACTAAGCTTTTAAAATCATTTCTACAATGACTTTTCCCCCTCTATACCATGGAGTTTTTAATTTTGGATTCTTAATTTGGCAATCTCTAATAACTCATTTCCACTCAGTCTGTTGCTTCTGATCTAGGTACAAGGAAACCAGATCATCAAGCTTGTTGGAACTATTTAGAGAATAAACAGGTTCTAAAGTGTTTCAATGGAAGGATTGTCAAAGAGCTTTTCTACTTCCTTCTGAGTCACCCATCTATATTTTTAATAGTTGAAGTTATTGTGAAATGGTCACTGAATAAAGTAGCAATATATTTTGGTTTATTAAATGACTGATCTTTTTCAAAGGTTTTAAAAAATGGAAAACCACTTATGAAATTTCAGTGTCTTAATTAATTTAATGAATGCTTTTTGAACTTCCACTATATCTGTTTGGGACTGGGTTGGACATTACAGATTAAACGTAAACGAGATGCCAAGATCAAGGATGATTTAAGTTACCACTCAGAAATCCATCGATTGTACTTCACCGTAATAACAGGATAAATGTTAAAAATGTAAGATCATCTTCATAGATACTGAAAAGCATCTACCATAGCTCTCAGCAAATTTGGAACAGAAAGTAACTTCCTCAGCTTCGTAAAGGGCATCTAAGAAAAACTCACAGCTAACATCAAACCTGAAGGTAAAAAAAAGTAAATGCTTCCATTTATGACTAGGAACAAGAAAAAGATATCCACTTTTACTTCTTTTATTCAACAATGCAACACAGCAAAATGAATGAATGAATGGCATTCTCAAAAGTGAACAGTCTGTTAATTTTTTAAAAACTATTTGTTTTTACTATTTGTTACTGATAATAAAATTCACACTTTCAAGTAAATATTAGAATTCTGCAAAATTTATATCTGCCAGGATGGACTTAACAGCTTCCCAATACTTAAACAAACAAACCTTTTCTAAGGAAATTGGGATGATGTTAGCTATTACAATTTAATTTGGGATATGAAATGTGTCAGTATCTGCATTTGAAGAATCTGCCTAACTTAGGAAGCCAGTATTTTCCAGTCACCAATGCATACATTTACAAAACCATGCACGGAAAATTGATCTATTGAAGTATGATATTTTACTGTAAGAGAGACCAGAAAAAGTATTTTGTTTTTTTCCTATGGCTTCTAACTCTATACTGCAACTGACCTTTAAGAAACAGCCACTTGTCAAGTACTGGTACAGTATCAAAAAATATTCATAATTTAAAAGTTAACTTATTAACCAAGGTTCACAAAATTGTGAGTTAAAATCTTGTTGGTAAAAACATGAACTGGTACATACTTGGAGGAAAATTACCCTATTCTTTTCAAAGGAAGCAAAACTATGCATACAGTGATGTTAAAGCTGTACTACTTATAACAGTAAAAAACAATAGGGAACCACCTAAACATCCATCAATCTCGAACTAATTAGACAAATTATGTCATATCCATTTTGGAAGCACAGGTGATTCCTACCTACTCTTTCATATTTTTTAAACTTTTCCAATTTTTTATGAAAAACACATGCTATTTTTGCAATCAAGAATTAAATGTACATTTTTTAAATTTTTCTGGGACCACAAAGAAAAACTTGAATTAGAAAAAGATTTAAACCACATTTATTTAATCCATATATTAACAGCAACTGAATTAGTATTTCTCAAACACTAACTAATTTCTCTAATCTTCAAAGTTATACAGCCTTACCTCTACTCTCAACTATTAACTTCATTTTGGAGTTCCTAGAAACAAAGCAAAGTATACTATTCAGACTCTACAATGTAAGTTTGGCTTCTTCTCCCTCTCACCACACCTCCCTAACAGAAGGAACAAAGAGATGCATTTTAAGGCTCAGATTTAGTTCTGCCATCCAAGTTATCAAACTTTTTATCCAACCTTCAGGTCTCCTTTTTTTCAAACTATATCTATTAAGCATGACCCAAATTAATAATTATTCACACAGAATTTCTCATAGCCAAGGAAAGGTATGTGAGGTAAATCTACTGTTATATTTCATGTACACCCATCTCATTGTTGGGAGGAGATCATGTACCTAACATGTATATTCCATCAAGCATATACATACTATACCTTTGGGTTTCTAAAATAACTCCATGAAAAAAACCAGTAAACAGACAAAAAGGAACTACTTCAATTTTCTTCAAAATTTCCTTCCTTGAATAGTTTCAAAGTCCCAAAGTTATGTACCTCTACATTATCCAAGATGGTTAAATTTCATAAGCAGCATTACATTTCAATCAGTAAATTAAACAGACATTTAGTCTCCAGTGTGAATAAAAATACTTCATCTTTATCATACAACGTAATTTTACCTTAAAATATTACTCAGTACAAACCTTTGGTGAAAAAAAAGATGACCTAGCTCTGAATGAAACCTTGAAATACATACTATTTTGTGAGTCAATGAATAAAGAAACTTCCTACATAACTATTAATAATGTATTCCAACACTACTTTTATGTAATTGAGATAAAGAATCATGAGTTATAAATTTTTTAAAAATCAGAATGTAAAGCCAATCCTGTAAAGACCAAACTAGGATTTCATATCCAAGGACAAGTCTGGGTAGTTTTTTAAGACTGAGCAAACAAATTAAATTGTTAAAAGTAAGGAAAGTTTGCAACTAACAAACAGGGGCTAGGGAACATGCTAAGCAAAAACAAAACAAAACCACCACAGCAATATAAATATGGTAGTAAAGAACACAAGGAAGAGTATTTTGGGAAGTGGCAGAAGTGTGGGGTGGGTACTGGAGAAGAAAAAGGCTCATAAAGAAGGCTTAGGAGGAAGAGCAATAAAGGTGTTAAATTACTAGCTGCAACTCCAGATCAAAGTATCTGGCTACTGAATTGCATGAATGTAATCAAACTCATGGGCAAAAGCAAGCTTTTGTATTTGTTTTTATATCCAGTGAATTTTCAAGTATAATTCCTACTGTTCCGAAATTATTTTTCAAACCACTCACTATAAAAAGTCACTCTGATTCATCAAAGCTCTTATAATTTCCAACATCAGTATTTTTCAGGGATGCTTACTGGCATCCCTAATATTCCTTCTTTCTTTCTTTCTTTTTTAATTCCCACCCAAAGACACACTTACTGATTTTTGGAGAGAGGAGGAAGGAGAGAAACCAATGTGAGACAGAAACATCAACTGGTTGCCTCTTGTACATGCCCCAACCAGGGACTGAACCCACAACCCAGGTATGTGCCTGGGATCAACCCACTGGGAATCAAACCCACAATCTTTCACTCCACAGGATGATGTTCCAACCATCTAAGCCACACTGACATAATTTT